AACAATATATGGATATAATATTATCAAAATTGGGTGTTATATCGGATGTAGATCATTTTCTTGACATAAGGAAACTCCAACCGGTCTATACATCACATGACCTATATTGATTATTTGATTGGTCACAAAAGAAAAGCATATAACCAAAGTTTAAACGGTTACTATATTTTTAAAATCCTGTTATTTTTATTTTTTCATAGTAATGAAGACGTATTTTACAATAAATTAATTTTTAATGATATCATGATCAAAATGTATCAAGCTCCATCACTTTTGTAGTTTCTTCCCCTTGTGTTTTATCTGATTCTTTGTCAATTTTCATCTTTTTTAAAATTGTTACTGTTGTCTTTAAATCTGTAGCATTTTTTGGATCTTCTACACGAATAAGTTTGATCCGTGATAATGAATTTGGGTCACCATCCCATTCTCTGTGTTTGATAAATAAATAAAGAATATTAGATAATATTATTACGAGACTATTAAAAATCAAATACCTTAGTATCTTGACATTTTTTGCATTCATTAAGTCCGGAATTTCTAATTTTAATGTTTAAGTCATTAATTAAATCTAATCTTAAGTTGGATAATTTTAATCTGACTTGGGATATATAATTCATTACTTTGCATACCAAATCCTTCTATATATTCTTTTCGCTCTTTCAATTTTAATGCTTCTATGTGATCCTCCTTTATTGTTTTAGGTCTGACAGCTCCATTAATCTTTAACGACTTGAGTTTTGAGAGTTCATCATCATTACGAGAGATATACCTTTACAAGTAGTAAAACATGAAAGAGTAAACCATTTATCAGAAGCAAATAACAAATTCAAAATTTCAAAAGGTAACTTTAATTACATTTCAATCAAATCATAAATATCGGCCGTTGTAGCGCAAGGAAGTGATTCATCAAGTGCGTATCTGAACCATAAAATCCTGTCAACTAAGAAAGCGATAAGTTATATTACAGACTCTACATAGTCATTCCTCCAAAGATTTTAAAAGAAGCATTAAAATACAAACCAATTGGTCTAACACTTTCAGAATATCTTCGCACTTTTGCTTTATCTAACCGATCTTTACGTAAAGTAACTCGTTGAAGTTGAGCAGCTTTACGGGAAGATGGATGAAGTACTGAATCTTTTTTTTTTATTTGTTTAAAGGTTTTCTTCTTATTGTTCGGCTGTTATTTAAAGAAGAAATAATAGTGTTAGAACGTTATCTTTTTTTTTTTAATTTGGATTGTTATCATTGTTAATAATGACCATTATTGCAGGAACAAGATTTACGTAACAAAACTCGATCTGTCAGATGTCAAATTTTAATTTTTTTTTATCTGGATTCTGATTGGCTTGAATTTGTTGAATGGTTTTCCCGGCTATACTTTATTTGGAGTCGTTTTTTATTTGGTGTTATTTTAAAGGTTAAAATTTTATATAATACTGTAAATATTATTAATAATACTGTTATGTAATTCTTATTTTTTCAAAATGTCAGCGACAGTAGTTAGAGCAGCTACTTCTTTAGCGAAAAGACCTCGTTTACAAAGGGCAGCAATGACTTTGGTAAGTAGCTCTTCTCTTAATCTGTTATATTATTTTCAAATGCTTTTAAAATTTTTGGCCGAAAGAATTCATTTTGTTGTAATTAAGACTCCAGCGGCAGTAAATAAGCTCCGTGAAATTGTTGAAGGGCCTGAACCGAAATTGGTCCGTGTAGCTGTAAAGAACAAGGGCTGTGCTGGATTATCATATGTCTTGGAATATGCTAAAGAAAAGGGGAAGTTTGACGAAGTGATCAAACAAGACGGTAAATTCTTCACTTATATGTTGTGAACAGTTAAACTTTTGAATCGCTCAATAGTTGATTATTCATTAATTTTAATAAGGATATACTAATTTTAATCTGAATATTTTCCGTTAATAGGTGTTACTGTTCTAATAGAATCGAAATCCCTTTTAAAAATGCTAGGTTCTGAGATGGACTATGTAGAAGATAAATTATCTTCTAAATTTGTCTTTAACAATCCAAACGCTAAAGAGAGTTGCGGGTGTGGAGAAAGCTTTACAATATAAGGCCATACAAATTTAATTACTTGGTTTTCATAACATCAAATTTAAAAAGACCCGGCCAGCCGGCTTCTTTTTTTAAATTTCATATATAAAATTTTATAAAAAAATTTTTTTAAAACCCACCCGGTTATTAAAACATAAAAATTTTTTTTTAGAAGTTTTCAAAATTTGGCCCGGCCGGGTTATGAAAACCAATTAATTAATTTTACATGGCCTAATTAAAAACTACTCAATCATTAAAGACACTTTAATACCCGATTATTTATTTTCTTTAATGTGATCAAAATTGTTCACTTCATGATTTGTTGTTAAAAAATTAAATATTACAACTCTTTTATATAAATTAATATTTTAACCTTTCATGTTTTTTATTAAACATTTTAATTCATCTCAAACATCATAATTATGATCGAAATTCACTGATTATGCGGTGAATGATTTCATATGATCTAATGTGCTAAAAAAGTTTTATGCTAATAAAAATCTTTATTTAAATTAAAGTTTTCAATATTTATAAAATTATATATATTTAATTTTTTTTTGAGATTTTAATATTGACCGGCGAGTCGATCGGCTTTTTAAATAATTTTATATCGATATATAAAAATTTTTTGCTATTACCTGGGGAAAAGGAGAAAAAAAAAAAATTAAGTTTACGAAAACGTCACAGATTTTCTATCAGGAACCGATTCATTCGGATCGTTTCAGTTTCTAAATTTAAATCGACCGGTTTCTGATCTCTAGTTAGACTTGAACCGGATCTCTTGCAGTATAGGTGAGACTATTAATAAAAATTATAATTAATCAATTGATTTAAAATAGGTATCACCTATATTGCAAGAGAACCGAAATAAAAATAACGCAAGTTGGTTGGCTGCATTAGATTGGATTCTATTTAGGTTCTTTCGGGTTGGTTTCGGATCTCAGTTTCGGGTCTTATTTGTACCTATTTTTTCGGTTCGATCCCGGTTCTTTAAAAACCAGCTCGAACCGACCCATATGGAACATTAATCTACTACCGCTGTTTTCGTTATTTTTAGGACATTTGAAAATTGGATCGATAAGTTTTTGAAGTTGGCTGACGTCAGTAACATTGATTCCAACTCGGCAAATTATAGAAAAAAATTTTCAAAAGTCATTTGTTTCTTTCAAAACCCCAAATCACAAGTTAAAGCCTCTTGTAGAAGCTTGAGTTAGTCAACTTTAGGGTTGACAGTGAAGCATCTATTTGTTATCAAACTCCAGTTGTATCAAATCAATTGAGAGGTGGTTTGAGTGTAATAGTAGTATATTAAGTTTAATCTATTCCTTTTTACATCTAGCTTGACTCAAATATAGTCCCCAAAGCAGATAATGATAAATTGAGATTAAGAAGTGGAGATTATTTAATTTCTTTAATACAAGGAGTTCTAAAAATCAGATACTATAATTATATTTTATGGTGCATAGTATACCATATAAGTGTGAAATAATATGCAGGGTTGTAATTTCAAATTTTGGCCTAAATTAAGCTTAATCTGGGTCATTATTTAAAACAATGCCTCTGGACATTATTTCGTGCTTTTACTGTATATTTCTTCATTTATTGGGCATAATTAAGCAAATAATAATTATTTTAATCTTTTCACAATATCATTTAGAATGATCACTATCCTGGAAACCTTATATCATCGAAATAATAAGGAAATAATCATTGAAAGATTGAAGTTGATATTTTATTAATTATTAAATTGCCAATATATTAACTGTAGTTCCAGATAATATTAATAGTTATTAAAGTATATACTATATAATAACGGTGGTAAATAAATCTTTCAAAGAATTAGCTTATAAAGCAGAACAACAATTTATATTGCTTAATAATACTACAACCAATCCTAAACATAAAACTTTCTTCTTTTATACTTTTTCTTAAAAATTTCTTAACCAAGCTGCTATTAATGATAATATAACCAACTTTAATCTCAAAAATGCATTATAACATACTTTTTCTACTTCAACAGATCCCCATCATTTTGTTAATATTATAGCCTACTTTAATATTATACAATTCTTTACTCATTTAATTTTTTCTATTTTTTCTCAATATTACCAATCTTATCTTCCTCAAGCTATACAATATATTTCAAAAAAACTCCAAATTCCAACAATTAATACTGATTTTTTTCTTTCAAACTTCCAAATACCTGAAATTTCAGATTCACTCTTTCTTTCTTCTTAAATTCCTTTTTTCTTTTAAATAATACACCTTTAACTTTATCCTATCATTAACAAAAATATATCAAAATATTGCTTTTTTATTTTAATAATTTTACTTTATACTTCTTAAAATCTTTAATAAAAATCTTATTTTTATTTTTTTTTCGGTATTAAGGTGACCTCTTTGGTCATATTTTTTATTAGAAGTTAAGTTTCAGTTACAATGAGGGTACAACTAGCCACATGTACAACTTTTGGTTATCTAATTTAAGTAGTTCACCCGGGGTTCTACACTAGCCACCATACCTGTAATCTAACTAGGAGATTACCTATTTAAACCCTCTGGTTATTAACAAGGGTACGACTAGCCACTCATACAACTTTTAATTGTCTAATTTAAGTAGTCCACCCTAGGTTCCACACTAGCTGTCATACCTGCAACTCAACTAGGGAGTTATCTATTTAAACTCTCTGATCCTAACCTAATTCCACCAAGTAGGGTCTTCTAACTCAGTTGCCTGAATTTTGTTTATGCCTTAGAACTTACCAACTCTAGGTTAGTCTATCCTCGAGGTAAACCTGCCAGAGTGGCCCTGTCCCATACGGGGTATATACCTAGACTTTGGTAATCTATGCTACGGCTTGACCTGCACACTCAGGAGTTATTCACCCCTACAATTACCTACTATAGGCCGGTGCAAAAAGATAGATACCTCAAATAAGTATTAATAATAAATTTTTTTATTAATAAAGTTTAAATTTTTTTAATTCAAAATTATTTTTTAGAAGATAGGAAAGAGTTTAATATAGTTTATTTAATTCTTTTATATAAAAACTAAAAAATTAATTAGTAAAAACTTTTTAAGTAAATTTTAGCCTATTCAAAAATGAAAAATTTTATAGTAAGCAATTAATAAAAAATTTTTTTATTTTTAAATTTATTTTTTTTTTAATTCAATTTGTTATTTAGATAGTAAAAAAGATAATTTTATTATTAATTATTTGTTTTATAAAAAATATAAAAAAATTTTATTAATAGGTTTTTTTTATTAATAGTTATATATAGTATATATAGTAAATTAATGATTTTTAACACAAATACATCAACTTTGACATTTAATAACTTTTTATCTAGTGATTATTTTTTTATAAAATTTTAAATATAGTTTTATTGAATCTATAGCTAGTTACTTGCGTAATAGCAAGCTTTAAACTTTCAAATTCATTAAGATATTAATTAAAAACTGTTTTTTTAAGAAAAAGTTTTTTTCTTAATTTTTTTTTATCAAAAAAGTTAGCTCTCATCTATTTTTATATAAAAGAGTTATAAAATAATATAATTAATAAAAAAAGATAGTTTAAACTATAATTATTTAACTTGTAAAAAATTATTAATTATATTAATAATAATTTAAAAACTTTTATTAGTAGTACTTTTTAATTATAGTTTTGAGGTATCTATCTTTTCGCACTGGCCAATACTACCCTTGTAAGGTTTGGTATTTAGATCCCGGTACCCACTTCTCATCACCTTCATGCCCCATGTTCCTGGTTTCCTCAGCCTCCCAATCCAGATAGCCCAGCAGGGTTGGTTTCCCCGGCTTTAGGTGCCGTTTGGGTATCCTTTTCTTGGTACATGCTTCCAGAGCACAAGTCCTTTTCCTCTGGTGCGACTCTGGCAGTTTGGTTGGTAGATCCCACCTCTAGGATCTTGTCATCCAATTTCACCAGTTCTACGGTTCAGTCCAGTTCAGTTCTGTATCACTATTGAAGATCCTCACTACTTCCTTACTTTGGATTTGCCAAGCTGGTTTCAGATCTTCAAGTCCTCTCTATCGGTTTTATATAGTTCTGGAAGTCTTATCGTGGGTTTGCACCACCTATACCGGTTTGCATTCCTCTGTGTAACCCAAGTATTACACAGATACTTTCAGAACCTTCCAGTGCACGAGGTGCATTGGTGTGACTAGAGTTACAGGTGATAGAACCTGACTTATCGATGAAGATCTGTTACTATAACACAGGTATTTTTGTCTGAAATGTCGCCAGTAGGATTCGAACTCGGTACCATAGTCAAGCTAGCTTGGGGTGCGACAACTCTACCACTACTCTAAGTCGCCACACCC